AACGCCGGTTGTACCTGTGTTCGGCTGATGGTGGAGCGGCATCGTCGTCTTCAATCGGAATGTCTTCCCAGCACAAGCCGGCCTTGATAGTAGAGCATGGCCATACATGTCCGCATGTGTCAGCCGTAGAGAGAGTAACGATTGTGAACATGCGCATACCCGTGGCGGAGCGGTGAGCAAGGACTCCTCATCCCACAGGTCTCCATAATCCGCGTTTCCGTCTCTGAGTTGACTGCTCGGCCACGTTCCGTTGTTGCTTGCATTCTCCTCTTCGGACGTGTTCTGGCCATCCGCCTCGGCGCGGACCCGCTTCTTGTTCACTCGCCGACGCTCAGAGCGAGAGGTCTCGCGAGTAGTACTTCGGAAGCGCTCTTCTTCGTTCCCCGACTCCATACCATTTGTTGCCTGTGCCTCGGCCAAGACGCGCTTCCGTCGTAGATCTGACTGTACCTCTACTGATGACGGCAGGGCCTTCGTCTTCTTCTTTCTGTACTTCCGTTCGTTCGCGTCGCGTGCTCGCTTCCGCTTCCTTGTAGTTGGTTGAACTCTTAAGGGCTTGGCGTGCTGTCGGTCGGAAAGAAACACGTTCAGGGCCGAGCACGCGAAAGGCTATGTTACTACAAGCGGTTGCATACCTGCGCATCTCGCAAGATCCGCCCGCACTCACCGAAACGGGCACCTTGCAAGCGTGCCAGGCAAGAGGTTAACTGGAGACCCTCCTGTCGCTCATGAGCAAGGTAGCGATCGAGATCGTATTCATCTATCGAGCCAGAATTTGAAGATTCCTCAGCCGAGGCAGAGGACGAATTGTCTTCTTCTAAATCGCTACGCGCGTCATGCGGATCCGCATCCGAATCAATCCTCTCCACTCGTCTACTACCGCGCCTTCTCATCCGGTGTCAGAGGCTCTTCGTTTGTCTGTCTCAACCCACCGCATCCTTCTTGCTACACAACGCCGGCATCTCACCATCAAAATGGTTTCGCGCCCAAATAAAAGCCGCACCAAATTGAAGCCCATAAATTTCGCGCCTGTCGACCGTATCTCTCTTTGCTGAATTCGCCAAGAGTGACGGTGCTCGGACAGCTAACACTTGGTGGTGCTGGTGCTGTATTGTCGGCCGAAATCTTCAGTTGCGCTCATCTGCTCCATTTCAACATCGAAAGACAATGACGTTCCGAAAGACCGAATACAAGATTACAGTTCTCGGGTCAGGTGGCGTGGGCAAAACAGGTAAAGTGAGAGATGAGTTCGTTCTTCGCTCTTCGTTCTTTTGATCTCACCCCCCTCTTCTCTTTTTCTTTCTTCTTCTCGTTCCAGCTCTTACTGTGCAGATGACTTCGTCGCACTTCGTGGAGTACTATGACCCCAGTACTTCCCTCCCTACTTCCCAAATCCACCAACCTAAACTCGAGCCACGCGTGTTTTTTAAACCCGCAACTCGTCTCATTGTTCCTGTGGTGTTGATTCGATAGCGATCGAGTCGAGCTACCAGCGCCAAGTGGTGGTCGATGACCACGCCTGTATCCTCGATATCCTGGACACGGCCGGTCAAGACGACTACAGTGTACTTTCTGCCTTCCCGTCCCTAAGGCCTCACAGTGTAATCCCCCTAGCGCGCGCTCTCTGACACGAAACGGCGTGCAGGCTCTGCGCAGTCAGTGGATTCGTAGCGGCGAGGGCTACATCATCATGTACAGTATTACCGACAAGAGCACATTCGCTGAGGTATGCACGTGCCCCCCGCTTCGTCCGGCCTATGGGGCAGCTGCCAGAACAGTTCCTGAATGCCCACCTCCCCTCTATTCTCTTCCCTTCAGGTGTCCAACCTTCGCTCCCAGATCCTGATGGTGAGGGATGTGCCCGAAGCGGATGCGCCGCCCATGGGTACGCGCCGCCTCTTCACTTTCGAGGATCGCCTGTCGTCCCCTCTCTCTAACATTCACTCTTCTTCTTTGATGCTCAGTGCTGGTGGGCAACAAGGCCGATCTGGAGGAGAAGAGGGAGGTGCCGCAGAAGGAGGGCAAGCAGCTGGCCGATCAGTGGAACTGCGCCTTCTTCGAGGCGTCGGCCAAGACGAAGACCAACGTGGAGGAGTCCTTCTTCTGCCTCGTGAGGAGGATTCGAGAAGCCGAGGGCTTCGAGAAGTTCTCCAAGGACGGCAAGGGCGGCCTCAGCGGGGGCAAGAAGAAGTTGTGCGTCCTCTTCTAAGACGACGAAGAGGACCGCGATCATGGAGGAAGGAGAAGCGCGAATGGTTTGTAGAGTAACTTTGTTGGAACGGGAGGAAGAAGAGGACAACGCAGTTAGGGAGCTGACGGAGCTCCGTTTTGTACACAGCACAACATCAATCAAAACTTGATCACCCCTAGGCCTTGGGCTTCTTGGCCTGCTCGCGCATACGCTCCTTTTCAGCCGCCAGTAGCTCGCCAAAGTAGGTGTTGCTCGCTTCTCGAATGTGAGCGAGGCTGCCCATCAAATCGTCAAGGCTAGATGACGCCAGACTCGCCTCGAACTCTCGCCGTGACCCGCCCTGCTGCGGCACGTCGCCCGACCCAGTCCTTGCCTCGGCGGCCGCTTCGTAGTAGGCACTCACGGTGTTGCGTCCTTCCATCTTAGTGTTATTATTTATTTGTTTGTTTGTCTTTTGTTTACTTCTAAATCGATGTCTCTTTATTTATCTCTTCAAGACCGCATGGAAGGGACGAGGGGTGAGCCGAGGCGAACAAAGTCGCCACGACGCACCACCAGCGTAGGCTCTGAAGATGAAACCGAATTCGTGGAAGAGGAAAGCCTACTCGAATACGTACGCTCCATCTTCCCAATTGAGATGCAAAATGAAAATGTACAAGTGAGCAAACGCCGTGACTGCTGGCGTGGTGAGGTAGGCCCTGTTTTGGGCAGTGCACGAGACCAACATCTCCAAGGTAATGGCACTGCTCGAGCGGGATGGGATCAACATCAACTGGCAGAACAAGGCTGTGGGAAACGTACCCTTCCCTTTGACCTTCGTCCCCCCTCCCCAATCGTGGGCCCTGATGGTGTCTTATCTCTACGTTGTGGGCACAGAAAACGGCATTGCACGTTGCAGTGGAGAAGGACAACACAACGCTGGTCGCGCTCTTGCTCGGACGCGGCG